CACAGTGCAGTCATGATGCGACTGATCAAATTTTCGGGTTAGCCGAGTCGACCCACGGGTTGTCGGGTGAACCCAAACCCGACCCATTTTTTCAAACGGGTCAAAAATCCGAACCCAAATCCCACCCGTTTCACAAACGGGTTGACCCAAATCCGGATTTTTTCTGGTCGGATTTTGGGTCATGTCAAAAATTTACACCCCAATCCTTAGTTTTAAATCATTCAATCTTTTTTTTCCTAACCAATTATGTTCAAATCATGAAAAATGTTATGCATGTTTACCTTCCCTTTGGCCTTAAAATTACTTAGAACTGCACCAAGTACTCTAGGGCACATCTAACATCACTACTCAAATATTTTTAAGTTCCTTCAAGCATTTGACCCTCCACCATAAAAACCCCTATATCAAAATCTCCAAGGTGAGCTCATCCCTTAGCATGCTATTCCTTCTCACCACCATCTCAAATACGATTATTCCAACTACAAAACAGTGTCCACCGTACCACATCATTAGTCTCACACTATAGTAATTAAAAGCTTTAGAGTAGTCCCTCTCAAGGCTACATCAAAGGATTTTTCTCATATAATCATAATTTTATTGTATATTAAATTTAAAACTTTTAACATGACCTTTGATATGCTTGAAAGAGGTTTTAAAATAAATAAAGATATATATTATTTTTAAAATATGATAATTAAGAGGTTTATGAAAGTGCTGACCTCACCATAATTTGTTTTTTATCTAATTTAATCTTGGTCTAGTCATGCCCATTTCACTATATCTCCTTTGTCTTAGCCATTTTTTATTTTATTTATTCACTCTCCTTAGTATATTCAAGTTGTTCTAATAGGAATTCTATTAACTTAGGCTTAGTTTGGGATGACTTTCTTCCTGCTTTTTAAAATAGCTTTCTAGTACAAAAATTAAAAAAATTGGTACTAAAAAGATGCTTTAAGAAGCAGTAAAAAAAAGCCGTCCAAGGCTTCATTTGGGACGACTCTCTTACTATTTCTTAAAGCAATTTTCTAGCACAAAAAGAAAAACTTGTTTTGTACTAAAAAGCTGCATTATGAAACAGTGAGAAAGTCGTCTCAAACGAAGTCTTAGTGATGTAGGGTCTATAGATTCTTTATGGTGAAAGAAGAAAGTTGATTAGGGTCCTTTAAGGGTGATGTTGAAAGAGTAATTTGGGTGGTGGTAAAATGGGTATTCAAGGTTTAGAGATATTTGATGCTACAACTTTTAAGCTATCAATTGAAATTTTTCATTGAAGGCAATAGGAGAGGAACTTCATATCAAAGGTTTGGAATGTTAGTAAACTAAAAATAATATTGTTTATAGATTTTAGATTAATGGTTGTGCTGAGTGAAGTTAGGAAAAAGGTTATGTAGATGATATAAGAACTGTGTTTGGATAAAGGAGGAATAAGAATGAGGAAAGTAGGTAAATGCTAACCGAAGCCCTAGAGGATTAACATCCAAACTTTACCTAAGAGTAAAACAAGCACCAATCCTTTTACATAAAATTTAGAAAGCTCAAATAAGTTTTATTCAATAAATATGACTTTTTCCAAGTTTAGACAACTTTGGAAAGCCTTACTATCCAATAAAATACGATTACATGCTTCATAATTTATCAGGGTACCAAAAAAGAGAAATAAAATAAAATTTAAAGCTTCTAAAACGATGAAAATTTATATTTGATCAAATAAGAAAAATAGAGGTGTCTATAAATCAAGCAATTTTTTTATTTTGTTTTCTTCCTTGCCTGATATGGCCCATATACTTATCAAAGAACCTTAAATTAAGCTTATTAAGCATTCTCCCTTGCATAAATTGAAGTGATTGTGAGTTTTTTTATGGCCTTACATTGAAAGTTATACATCCAATAGCCTAAATCTTGATGTAGAGCTTTGATTAGTGACCTTCTCCTTAGCCTTTGTCTTTAAAATTTATTTTTTAAAAGTAGTTTAACATAATTATCTTCCCATTTAAATTACATATTTGTTATTTCAATAGATAAATAGTTTTAATTAAGTTCTAATTAAATTTAGAGAAAATTTTAATCAGCTAATGAATGGATTTTTATTTTTATTTATATAACTATTAGATTTTTTTATTTATATAAATATTTGAAATTTTTTTTTTTTAGGGTGGTGTTTTTTTTTTTTTTTTTTTTTGCTATGAAATTAATGGTGTCTTAGCAAGTTTAAATTTTATGGAGTCTAATGATTTAATTACAAAGTTAATTTACATTAATGAAGAAATTTATTAAAAATAAAAGGCTAAGATTAAAATCATCATATTGACTTAAATTTAATGAAAGACAAATATTTAATATAGGAAGAATTGCATAACACTTTATAATAATAATATTCATATTAAAAAAAAAGTAATCAAATAGAAATAATTATAATAAGTAATGTATAATAAATAAGAACTTTCATATATATGATTTTATTTCCTTCTACTCGATACCATAAAAAGAAAAAGAAAAAAATCATCTAAAATTATGGCAAATTTCCTAAGCTTTATGATAAAGCTTCCATTAATTTCATTCATTTCCTTGTATATCTCTCTCAGGAATGAAGTCACTAACTTCATCAATCTTTTTTCTACAATCTAAAAATTAGGATAAATAAATTGACTAAAAAAATTAAACAAAAAACTAAGAAAAATCAAATAAAAAAAGTAAAAGATTTCTTTGCAATGAACTTTAAAGTTTAAATAGCTTCATTTTTCATTTAAAAACCTTGTCATGAGTATATGTGATCCATGAAGATTTTTAAATGCAATACAACTATAAATGAAGAGTTATAATAAGATTATTAAAGCTTTACTTTTCAAAATTGAAATTAATTTCTTAAAAAGAGTTTAGCATAATGATATTATTATTAAAATTTCATGTGTCATTTTAATAGATAAATAAATGCAATTAAACTTTAATTAAATATAGCAAAGAAAAATTGATCCACTAATAAATGGATTATTTGTGTATGTCTGTCTGTATGTATATAATTTATTTCATCGTTAATTTTGATGATGATGAAATATTTTAGAAATTAATAAAATTAATGGTACATTCATAAGTTTTAAATTTATTGAGTTGAATTATTTAATGATTCATTTAATTTTAATTTATGGAGTGTGATGATAAGATGTTTTAAAATATTATTGTTAATTTTTGTATTTTGATCAAATTTTAATGAAAGGATATTAAGTTTAATAAAAAAAAATTATCTAAAATTTGTTCCAAGTTTCTCTTCTTTGGTAACATTATGGAGAAGAAGATGCATCTCATCTCTTGGAAATATGAGACTTTACCTAAGTGCAAAGTGGGACTTGGCCTGCCATCATTTGATTCTCTGTATCATAATATGGCTTGTTCTTTTATTTTTAGGATGTACAACAATGATACGATTGGCTCTTGGTATAGGGAGCAGTATGATTCTCCTTGGAAGTTGCCCCCTATTACAGCTTCTAAATTTTGGAAATTGTTTTGCCGCACGGCATCTTCCATCAGCTCTGTCGTTTCCCTCTCTGTTCACTGGAATTGCAATCTCTCTTTCCTTTGGGATCCTTGGTGCAATAAGAAAGTTGTTTCAGAAATGTTTTATTCTCATAGATTTTCTCATTTGTGGGTTAGGGATTTCATTGATCAATACCATTGGGCGCTCCCTGACTTTTTACCTATTGATGTTAAATCCATTATTTTGAATACTGACATTATTGGTGAGCAGCCGGTGCTTACTTGGGACGGATCTCCTAGTCCATCTTCCAGGAATTTTATGGATCTTTTTCACTCTCATTATGATGATGTGGCTTGGACTAAATATATTTGGCACAAAGGTTATGCCTTACATTATGCCTGTTATGCTTGGATGGAAATGATAGAGAAACTCAAAACGGCTGATAATCTTATTTTTAGGGGTATTCCGGCTAATCCCTCCTGCTCTTTTTGTCTTGGGAACTTGGAAACTCATTCACATGTTTTTTTTTAAATGTGATTTTTCATTTTCAATCCTCACTACCTTGTTCCCTTCGATGGTTAATTTTTATCGAAGGCCTAACCTTTTACAAGTCTATGACTTCTTGGGGAGTAATCGGAATTATGGCAAAATTGATAGTAATTTCTGTTTTTTTACTTTGCCTTCTTTGGTTTATTATTTATGGAGAGAACGAAACAATATGAGGTTTTCCAGTGATTTGAGAAGTCCTAATGAATTAAAAAGTGTTATCATTCATGCTATACGAGCTAAATCTAGGCAGTGGAAACATTATGATCTCCTTAAAGAACATTTTGTGGAAATTATGGGCTGATTTGCCTCTCGCAGTTGTTGGCCGGAGGTTTTTATGGTTGGTCGTTATTACCAAATCTGGAGGGCTCTTCTTTTGTTCGCAGCTGGGGTTTTTTTGGGCCATGGTTGTGATTGTATCTGCTCTGTTGAGGGTTTTGGCATCTCCGTGATGGTTTTATGTATCTAGGCCTTAGGGAGTTTTTTGCTTCCTCGGTTTCTCCCAGATCTTCTTCGGATGGATGCTTTTCTGATTTTTGGGACGATGTTGTGCAAGGTCTAGATATCTAATGCATCCTTGGAGGGTCTGATTGCAACTAGGATTGAGTTTTTGGGCACTGTGATGGCCAGTCAAATTTGGTTTTCGAGCAACCTGTGTCTCTATCGCTGGCTTCATGGATTACTATTATTATGATCTAGGCATTGATGCCTGTGTTGTAGACCATTTTTCCTGAGTCCATTTTTCTCTTTTTTTAGAATTTTGCTTTCTCACCTGTGCTCTTTTAGTGGTATAGATTTTATATTTGTAATTTTAGCTGCTTGTAACTCTTGGTGATCAATATACAGACTTTGCCCCAATTTTTTTTTTAAAAAAAAGTTTAATAAAAAAAATTGCCTTTTATTTTATCACTCAAGTGACAAATAGTCACCGGAAATTTAACAGCAAAGCCCTGAGCGGAAAGCAACTGGACGAGAAATAGCTGATGATAATCACATGGTCTATCCTGCTCGACAAAATCCACTCGGTCCACAACCTCCATCTACTTGTTAGTCTCCTACCTCTCTCCTTCAGCTCTCTCTCTCTCTCTAGCTCAAGACAGACACAGCCATAACCAAACTTCTCCTCCTTGAGAAGAAGCTCATCCATGGCGGATGGTGGCGGCACAGCATCAACTGACCGATCAACACTCCTCGACGACCTTCCCGACGCCGTCCTTCTACAAACCTTCTCCCTTATCATCGACGTCCGCACCCGCAACTCTGTCTCACTCACCTGCCGCAAGTGGCGCTCGCTCGAACGATCAACACGCACTAACCTCTCCCTCCGCGGCAACATCCGGGACCTCTTTCTCCTCCCCACCTGCTTCCCTTCCATTTCACATCTAGACCTCTCCCTCCTCTCGCCATGGGGCCACCACCCCGCCGACTTTCATCTCCTCACTCGCCGCTTCCTTCTCGCTTTCCCCTCCGTCGTTTCGCTCACCATCTATGCTCGTGCCGCAGCCATGGTTCCCAATTGGCCGAATCTTCGGCACGCTGCGCTTGTGCGGTGGCATCCGCGGCCTAATCAGCCACCTGGTTTTGATCTCGGTCCTCTTCTTTCATCTTGCCCTAATCTTACGTCTTTGGATCTTTCACGGTTCTATTGCTGGCCGGAGGACATCCCCGCTGCGTTGGCCTCTCACCCTTCGGCTGCTGAATCGCTGACCCATCTCGACCTCCTCTGTTCGGCAGCGTCCGAGGGGTACCGGTCATCGGAGCTGGTTGCGATTGCGACGGCTTCCCCTAATCTCCGTCGGTTGCTTGTTCCCTGCGTGTTCAATCCAAGGTTCTTCGATTTCGTCGGTGACGATGCCATTCTCGCCGTGGCTGCGGCTTGCCCGAATCTCTCGTTGCTTCATCTCGCTGATCCTTCAACCCTCTCTCCCTCCCGCGAAATTCCTGATTCCACCACCACCCCACGCGATGATGCACGCGTCACACGCGCTGGTCTTCAGGGGATGTTTTCAGCCCTCGCGCTTCTTGAAGATCTAACCCTAGATCTATGCCATGATGTGGTGGATTCCGGCGCAGCATTGGAAGTTCTAAGCCACCGATGCCCTCGCATCCGATCCTTGAAATTTGGCCGATTCCAGGGGGTTTGCATAGCCGCGGGACTTCACCTCGACGGTGTCGCGGTCTGCGGGGGTTTGCGGAATCTCTGCATCAAGAACTCCGATGATCTTTCAGATTCCAGCCTCGCCACCATTGCTCGCGGCTGCCGTCAGCTTTCCAGATTTGAAATCCATGGCTGCGCCTTGGTGTCTGAGACAGGCATCAAGAGATTGGCTGCAGTGCTTCGCTCCACACTCAAAGAAGTGATAATCTCCGACTGCCGATACCTTGATGCAGCTTCCTCGCTTCGCGCCCTGGCACCGATTCGAGATCGCATTGAGCGCCTCCACATCGACTGTATCTGGGAGAAGCCGGGGACTTTGCCGGCTGAGGTCGCAACAGATGATCTTGATTGCGATGATGTCGAATTCCAGTTCGATGAAGAAGGCGTGTCGAGCAAGAAATGCAGGTATTCTGATCAAAACTTCTACAACAATGGCGGCAGCGAATTCTGGTGCAATACATTCGATCGCCTTCGTTATCTCTCGCTGTGGGTTCCCGCGGGAGAAATTCTTAGCCCATTACGGGAATCGGGGCTGGAGAACTGTCCTGAATTGGAGGAGATCAGCATCAAGGTGGAAGGTGATTGCAGAACTTGCCCAAGGCCTGCCCAGCCTGTTTTCGGACTGAGCTCGCTGGCCTTATACACTCAGCTGTCAAAGATGAAGCTTGACTGCGGAGAAGCCATTGGCTATGCTTTGACAGCTCCCACAGGACACATGGATCTCAGCCTGTGGGAGAGATTCTATCTCCATGGAATTGGAGATCTGAACCTGCATGAGCTCGACTACTGGCCGCTTCAAGACAAGGAGGTGAATCAGAGAAGCTTATCACTTCCAGCTTCTGGATTGATACAAGGATGTTCATCGTTGAGGAAGCTGTTCATCCATGGTACTGCGAATGAACATTTCATGAGATTTTTTTTGGGGATGCCGAATCTGAGGGATGTACAGCTCAGGGAGGATTATTACCCGGCGCCGGATAATGATATGAGCACAGAAATGAGAGTAGATTCCTGTAGTAGATTTGAAGATGCATTGAACAGCAGGCCTATACCTGATTAGATGGAGGAGGAATTGCAGAGATTTGATCTGCTTTTAGCTTTTTGGAGAGAGAGTGTGTGCAAGAGATCGAGGGGGTGAAATTTGAGAGAGGTGTAGATCTTGTGAGTTCAATAAAAGCAAAACCAAACATTTCTTCTTCTTTTTTTCGCTTCAAAGCAGAAGTACTCGACGTAATTTTACTGGGATTTTTTTTTTCTTCAAGTGAGAGTACTGAATTATTCTCAAAGAACCGAAATTTTAGAACCCAACATGAAGTTTTAAATTAATTGAAAAATATTTCAAGCGTTCTAGGGATGCCCTAGCCGACCTCCCTATTTCCTCTCTTGTTCTCGGTTTTCTTCTCTGGCCGCCACCAGCCTTCTGACGGTGGTCACCACGGAACAGCTTACTTCTAGCCTTTCCCCCCTCTTGCTAAAGCCTGGTCCTTCAGACCCCCCCCTTTATTTTCTCAACATCTAATCACTCCCTTTCAATTTGATTTCTAAGCAAAGTGCAAGCTTCAAAAATTTTAAAGTATCTCATGCTGAATTTAATTTGAAGTCTTCGTAGTCTGGAGTTCGTTTTTCCTGAAATGTCAGTACACACAAGAGCAAATACAATTCTTCCAAAATTGTTAGGAGATAACTACACATTTGAACAATAATGTTTGAAATCATCAAAACTTTATAAGTTGCAAAAATGAAAAGCATGCAAATAGCAACTATCTTAACAGTTTGGTGAAAAGGGGCTTGATTTTTTTATGGAAAACCATTTATTTTTCAGAAATGGACCAAAAAATTTCATCCTACTAGAGAAAGTTTTTCTTCTGTGTCGATATGGGTTAGGGTTCACAAACTTCCCTTAGTCTGTTGGAACTTGGAACGGATCTCTAAAATAGCTTCTAAAATTGATATTCCGATAGCGGTTGATGCTTTAACTGCTGTGAAAACTAGATTAACATATGTCAGGATTTGCATACAAGTATCCACTAGTTCTTCATTTCCAGATACTGTAGCCATTGCTATAGAAGGGGAAGTTATCAATTTGCAAATTCAATATGAATGGAAGCCTGAACCTTGCTCATCTTGTGCTTCCTTAGCTCATTCCTCCACACAATGTCCTGCTTCTCAGCAAACTGAGCAAATCGATCAAACTCAACCCCGGAGACATAGTTCTTCTCGGAATCCCCGCAGGAGAGCACAATATCGTCCCAACACTTCGAATTTGAGTAATGTTATAGAGGAAACTCCAAATTCTGTAGCCAATCTTCAAAATATCACTAAACATAACCAGCTGCATCCACCTCCACGCTATCTATGTTCCCGACTAAGGTAGTTTTAACTTCTATAGCTCCTGCTACAACCAGTCAAAACACTGTGCCCAACGAACCACAAGAACCGTCCAGTGAACCACAGCTTACCATTCCTCATCTAATCAGCTCAGCTAATCCTATCCCAACACTTACTGTTCCTACTGCTCCTGTCAACTTGGCAATCCCTAATCTTAACTCTCTGACTAATGAATGTCTAGGGGAGTCAGAGATAGCACAAGCCTCATCTTTAAATCCACCGACCATCCGCATAAGCAATAAATATGCGTCTCTTCAAGGTACGGATGAGTTAGCAATTGTTCTGAAAATGATACTCATCCTTATATGAGCCTACCTCAAATACCAGTGGTAAAAAAAGTAATCCCTCTCTTCCCAAAAGCACCAGAGGGAAGGGTTCCAAAAAGCCTCCCACCCCCTCTTCGAAGTATAAATGATCTGTCCCTTCATAGCAGCGTGGAATATTAAAGGTTTTTCCTCTTCTGATAAGGTTTCTTTAAGCAAAATGTTAGTCCAATCTCTTAGGTTGGACATGATTTATATTCTAGAGAATAGAATACAACTATCGTCTCTCTCAGACATTAGATTTTACAACAGTCACTTGGTATATGATCTGAAAACTAGTTGCAATAATTTTCATTGTGCTAATCCGGGGAGGATATGGATAAAATGGAGTTCTGATAGGCTTACATTTGAGCCCTACTTCTTCTCTTCTCAAATGGTTGCTGGGATGGTATCTTATGGTACTAGTCCTCCTTTTCTTCTTTCAGTGATTTATACTTCTAACCATCAGGAAGGTAGGAAAGATCTTTAGGATGATTTAAGAAATATTTCTCCTACTAGTGGCACTCCTTGGATTTTATTATTATTATTATTATTATTATTATTTTGGTCTACTCCTTGGATTTTAATGGGTGATTTTAACTGTTGTCGGTTTCCATTGGATAAAATTGTAGGGAATGCACTGCAACAGAATCAGCTCCATGACTTTAATAGTTTCATTTTCGATTCAAATCTCAAAGATTTAGCTTCTATTAGTTCTTCTTATACTTGGTATAACAAGAGGACTGATTTTCCTATTCACATAAAATTGGATTGTATGTTGGTAAATGAAGATTGGCTGCCTTCCTTTCCCAACTCTTACTATATGATCAAAAGTCCTGATGGTTCTGATCACTGCCCTATCATCCTCAAACCTAGGGATAATTCTTCCACTAAGCATCGGTTTCTCTTCAAAAATTATTGGATCAAATATGACCTTTTTTTTTTTTTTGAAAAATTGCAACAATTTGCATTAAAAAGCAACAAAGAACTAGTTACAAGTAATAAAAGGATCACATTCCTCCTTGATTAAGTCCATCAAGAAGGAAGGGATGCTCTCTAAAGAAAAACTATCAAAATAAAAACTACTTTCCAATGCCAAAGTAGCACAACAATTAGTTACTTTATTACAACATCTATAGGCATGATGGAAAACAACTTTATTGAAATCATTTAAAAAAAAAATAAATCCTTTGTCGGCCACCTATCCATAAGCCAGTTATTCTTCTTCAATGAGTCTTGAATGAATTGGATAATATTGACATTATCACTCTCAATGATCAACTCCTTGCACTCCAACATCCAACTCTTAAGGAACTCCTTCACCGTGAGAACGGCTTTCATCTCAAGCTGGGCAACATCCCAATGGGCCTTTTTCTTCCCAAATGCACTGATCAACCGGCCTTTGTGATCCTGGAAAACACCACCAATACCAGCAAGATTGGAGCTAAGAAAAGAGTCATCCAAGTTAATCTTAATCAAATCTTTCGATGGAGGGCACCAAGTATTTTGAAACTCCCTAAGGAGATTAGTACCCAAGCTAGAGAGATATGGACTAGATTTGGAGATGGCTAAGAACAATGCATTAGAAGCAACCATAGAACAAGGCAATGCAGCCTTACCATGCTTCACAGAATTCCGGTTCTTCCAAGATAGATACATAATTGTACAATAAACCTTGACAATTCCAGAGTGACAACTTGATAGCCTCTTTATCTCTTGTAAACAGCAATCCATAGAATTGAAAATAGGGATCAGAATACCCCATTCACGTATCTTCATAATGACTTCCACCATATATTTACATTGAACCATTTTATGCTCATACGATTCATCCACTTGGCAACCTCTGGCACAAACAGCAATATCAGTAATTCTGCAATTTTTAAGAAACAGATTCGTAGGAATCACAGCTTTACCTAACCTCCACCAGAAGATTTCAACCTTCTTACTGAGTTTAAGTTTCTGCAACCATCTATAAAACTCAACATCTTCAAAGGTACATCTGTTGAATAGCACTTGTTCATACACCAATGCAGAAACTGATTTACCCGAACACCATTTCAGCAGCTCCATCTGATCCTCCTCCTCATACTCAATATGAATTTGTCTAATCAAAAGTATTAGCTCCGGATGAAAGGCTATTTGTAACAAATTAAGATTCCACTCACCATTATTTACCAAAAGCTGCTGAACATAGATACCATCTAGCACATCACAATCAACATACGTTGGCCACCGGTTGATGCTTTTATCAAGCAACCAAGCATCATTCAAGACATTGATCTTGTCACCCTTGTCCACCTTCCATCTAATAGTGAATTTCAAATTCTTTCCCCATCCAACATAATCTTCCAAGCACTAGAAGTAACCTTCTTTTGATCACCATTCATAACATCATCACCATATTTAGCTTTCAACGCTCGATGGAACAAAGAGTCCGGTTTCTGAATACAGTTCCAAGCCAATCTAGATCTTAAAGAGCCAATTCTTAATAAAGGAGAATGCAAGCCTAGCCCACCCATACTTCTTGGCTTGCAAATTTCTCCCCAATCAATATAATGCATACCATTGGTTCCATCATTCTTATGCCAAATGAAATTTCTACATATTTTTTCCAACTCATACAATACTCTTTTGGGAACCAAAAAATGAGTAATTAAGAAATTTGGCATAGATGAAATATGAGCAGTTCTGATACTTATTGTTTGATATTTTCTCTGCAAAGACAAAAGGAAACCCTTTTGTAGACCTTTGTTCTAAGCTTAAGCAACTGAAAGTTGCTGTTAGAGGGAAAAGTTGGGCTACCTTTAATGTGATGGCTGATCATATCAAGATGCTACAAGACAAGCAAATTTCTTGTCTAGGTAGCTTGAATCTTGATGGAAATATTTCTCATACTTCTTTAGAGTTGAAAATAATAAATCATCAATTGGAGGCTGCAACATCTATGTGGTTTTCATGGGTAAAGCAGAGGGCAAAAACTAAATGGTTATCTCAGGGGGAGGATGACCTCAAGTTTCTATATGCTAGGATCCGATTGAGGAGGAATTAGAAAAAAACTGTGATTACCTTAGCTATGTCTAAAGCTGACTCCGCTATGTTTGAAGCTATTAAAGACTCCATCACTTACTTTCAAAGCCTCTTCAATACTCCTCAGAATCTAGAATTTGACATCAACCTCTTCCCTCCTTGTAATGTTATTCCTTTTGAATTCATGTAACTCTCTTACGGCTCCTTTTTCAGAAGTGGAAATTAAAAAAGCAGTTTTTTCTGGAGCTTCCAATTCTACCCCTGGGCCTGATGGCTTTAACTTTGAGTTCTTTAAATCGGCTTGGGTGGTTATTGAACCCAGTGTCTGCAATGTTGTTAAGTGTTTCTACAATAATGCTTATCTTTCACGTATGGCTAAAGCTGCCATCACTCTTATCCCAAAATCCAGTTATGGTGAGGATATCACTGATTTTCGTCCTATTTCTCTTTGCAATACTGCTTACAAAATTATTGCTAAAGTTTTGGCTGATAGAA